CATATATGAAGGTAATGTTCAGGCATTCTAAATACCTTCACTAAGGATTCAGAGGAGTCTTTTTCCTGGGAATTGTTTGCTATTTGTTAAGCAAGCCTGTGTTGATGTCAAAAGCCTTCTTTTTTATATGGAGTTCAATTCTATTATCTGTCCGTCTTCAGCATTCCACCCTAGTCCATGCAGATCCCATCTTTTAAATTTTTCCTCTGAAGGGTCCATCTCATCTTACTCATGTTTATGGTGCTTCTTTACCATCCCTACCACCTGTCAGCTTGGTGACAAGCAATAGAACTATAGAGGCATAAACTTCTAAATTTCCTATAAAAATAAATTTTGTCTATGAGCTTATTCATAACAATGATAATTTCTGCAGATTTAGGCTATAAAATAAAAAATTGACGGACATTCTTTAATTGGATGTAGAGACCCCTGGTCCTTTAAACATTTCTAATAGCTCTGAATATCTAATTTAATATAAAACCTAATAAGTATAAACTCATCTCCTTTCATTTACCTTATAAACATCTGCATCTCCTGAGAAAGAATCCAGCAATTATTTATTAATTAATGGAATGAATTCATCTGCCTCTCACTTGCCATTAGTTCATTTTATATTTGGAAGAGGAATAATCTGCTGACTTTTTAGATCAGGTTAGGGTTTTTCAATGTATCACTCTAATATTTCTGACTTTATTTCTGATGATTTATGAGACTGGATTTTGTCTTTCATCCAGAGGAATGCATGATTAGCCTTTCATTTTCTAACTCAAATTCAATATCCTTATGGTAGATTATTCTTTAAATTATAGCTAATATAAAATTCTTTGGAAGAGCAAGGATAATACCGGCAAAGGCTTTTTCCTAATATATGTTCTTATAAGCCTTAGACGTCCTGTAACTACATGCTGATTATTCATCTCAATAAGCACTAGTGAATTTTTTATTTATCATGAAGTTCTCCAATAGTAACTCCATACAAGTTCTTTTTTTTTTTTTTTTAAGTATTCAGTGATGATAAGCTAAATTTCAGATTTCACCAACCTGTCCTGATGGAGATTCATTTATGGGCTGGTGCATTGGTCCAACAGACCACTGTGAAGTCCACCTTGCTTATGAATACAAAACATATTTGCAGTGTTTCCTGGGATATATTGTTGCAAATAGGTTGCTTTTGGTACCCTGCATTTTACCACAGATAAACCTATGTGAGATCTACAGGAAACTAAATTTTGTGATGATAGTAACATACACCCAAGGAAATGATATGCTTATGTTGATTCATAAAACAGATTTTTAAGAAAAATAAATGTCTAGGTGGATAGCAGTCATTTGTAGTTCTTTTGTATAGATAGAGGTATTACTTTAATCTCTTCCCTGGTTCTCCCATTTTTGTTTCCCCCCATAGCCTCTTTTCGATGAATTTGTTTCTTCAGTTACTTGCAAATAAGAAATGAATTTCCTAAACAAGGGCAATTATTTCATTAATCATTGACCAAGTGGTCAAAGAAAGGGAAAGAAAGAAAAAAGAAAAAGAAAAAGAAAAAAAAAGAATATGATCAAATATGATCAGGCTGGTGAATAGATCAGTGCCACACACTAGATTTTGGGTGTATTTTGGTCTGTTAGAAGAAAGTGCCTCCCAAAATTTTAAAGAAAGAAAAACTCATATATGTACAAAAATAAGGGTAAATATGATAAAGGGATGGCATATGACTGTACATATGAAAATTATAAAAGATTTTTTAAAAGGAATTGATAAAATACAAAGTTGGTTGAAAAAAGAAAGAAGAGGATTAAAAAAAAAGGAGAGAATGTGATCATGCAGAAGACTAGAATAAAGCCATACACTAGAGATTTACAGTATATTTCATTCTGTTAGAAGAAACTGCATCCCAAAATTTTAAAGAGAGGACAACTTATATATATATATACACCAAAAATAAGGTTAACTAATATGAAGGGCTAGAATATGACTCTGAAAATGAAAAATAAAAAAGATTTTTTAAAAAAGGGATTGGTAAGGTTTGGTTGAAAAAGGTAAATGAAAAATTTTAAAAAAAGAAAATTTAAAAAATTAACTTTGAAAGACTAAAGAATCATGGGAAAAAAGCCATGAATTGGGGCGCTTGGGTGGCTCAGTCGTTAAGCGTCTGCCTTCGGCTCGGGTCATGATCCCAGGGTCCTGGGATCGAGCCCCGCATCGGGCTCCCTGCTCGGCGGGGAGCCTGCTTCTCCCTCTCCCACTCCACCTTCTTGTGCTTTCCTTCTCACTGTGTCTCTCTCTGTCAAATAAATAGATAGATAATCTTTAAAAAAAAAAAAAAGCCATGAATTCTGTGTGCTGTATTCCCTTAGCGCTGGAGTTCTGCTGTTCTCATTGATCGGTAAACTTGGTCTTGGCTGTCTGTTCTTGCTGATCTTCTGGGGGAGGGGCCTGTTGCAGTGGTTCTCAAATGTCTTTGCCCGAGGCGGACTTGCCCCGCCCTTGCCGGGGGCTGGGCTGTCATCTGCTCAGGCTTGCTCTGGAGAGCTCTTGTCCCCTGCAAGCTCTCCATACAGCTTTGGAGGATGGGAAAGAAAATGGCAGCCTCCTAATCTCCACCCCAGTGGAGCTGAGAACCTGAGGCCCCACTCATCAGTGAGCCATCTCCCCTGGTCTCCGGCCGCACTCCGTGCTCACCTGGCCTGTGACTGAGCGTTTCTATCTCTGGCACACGACCCCGTGTGGAGTCTCCAAGCCCAGCAGATTCCTGCAGTGTGCTCCCATGCTGCTCCTCCCGAGGGAGGAAGGGGAGTCTCCCCAGATCTGCTGCTTTTTGGGTCCCTGCTCGAAGAGCAGTGGCCTGACTGTGCTGTGGATCACGATTCATGGCAACCCCAGGCTGAGAGCCCACTCCTTGGCTCCATCTTTGCAGCTGGCTTCCCTGCTCCAATACCTGGGAGCTCTGCTGCACTCAGGCACCCCTGGTCTTTCTGAGACACCGAGGGTCCTGAGACCACAATGTCCCAGTGAGGGCTCTACCTCCGGCTTAGCCACTGGAGTGATGTCCCTCAGTGGAGCCAACTTCTAAAAGTTCTGATTTTGTGCTCCACCACTCTATCACTTGCCAGTAGTGGCTGACGAAGGCCCCCTCCCCCGTCACCTATCTTCCTGAAGATTGCCTCAGATTCACTTCTCTGCATGTCCTACCTTACAAAAAGTGGTCGCTTTTCTGTTCAGAGAGTTGCTGCTATTCTTTTCTTCAATCTCCTATTGAGTTCATAGGTGTTCAGAATGGTTTGATCACTATCTAGCTGAATTCCTGGGACCAGACAAAATTTAGGTCTCCTACTCCTCTGCCATCTTGCTCCTCCCCCCATAAGAGTCTTTTTACCCAGCAAAGGCAGAATATGATAAAGCCAGAAGCAGTGAAAAACATGTCTGACAGAGGATCTTACAGCTATAATCCGGGAAGCCATGAACTCATGTTAACTGATAGATAAAAATAGTATTGGCTAAATAGAATTAGTAGTTTAAAAATTTCATGAGTAAAATGAAAGCAAAAAGAAAAAGTTGATGTTCTAAACAAAAGATTCACAGCACCCATACTCTCAGTTTCCAAGGAGGAAAAAAACCACTTTATTAATATTATAAATATCTAATAGAAACAGAAAGAGGAAAAGGGAAATCTGAGCATAGATGAGGGCAATAGTAAGCAGTAAAGGAGAATAAGACAGTTACATCAGATGGGGTACTTACAGCATCCAACCTCATTAGCTGGGGAAGCCCCAGGGGTGGAGGCAGCCAGGCTGGAGTCCTGATAGAGAGGCCGGGTGGAACATCCTCCCCTCAGGTGAGACTTCCAACTGACCATCTCCATAAGGGCCATAATTATAGGGCAGAGTCTGAAGTTAAACATTTGTTTGCCTACGTGCAGTTTGGAGCAAACTGCATTTCTATGTTATCATGTCTTTATGTGTTCAAGGAGCCCAGGCCATGTGTGCTTGCCTTACCTTCCAGATTCCATTCTGGGAGGCCAGCCTAACCTGGGGCTGGAGAAGATATAAGGCAAGATTTACAGCTCTTGGTGTCCAGACCAGAAGGACCAATTATGACCTGGAAGCCAAATAATGTCAACTAACCAGGCTCCCAAGGTCACTTATGCAGCAAGAATCTCACAACATTTTTAGCCTGCCTGTGTACATGCAGGTTGGGGTGGTCTGTTTTGCAGGACAAACCTCCATCCATACAATACAGTTGAGAATTATAGCTTTGAGGAACTTGGTATACAAAAATCTCATGTAAATGGAGCAGTTACATAATGGGTAGATGGTTCAGCTTAGTTTAAATTACCAATTCAGGGGGGCATCTGGGTGGCTCAGTCATTAAGCATCTGCCTTCGGCTCAGGTCATGATCCCAGGGTTCTGAGATCAAGCCCCGCATCAGGCTCCCTGCTCTGTGGGAAGCCTGCTTCTCCCTCTCCCACTCCCCCTGCTTGTGTTCCCTCTCTCGCTGTATCTCTCTCTGTCAAATAAATAAATAAAATCTTTAAATAAATAAATAAATAAATAAATAAATAAATAAATAAATTACCAATTCAGGGAGCACAATAAATGTATTTAATGCCCATTCCTGTTTTATGATTCATACATGACTGGACACCCAAACCATAACTTTCCAAGTTCCCCAATTTTCTTTAAGGAATAGTACCCACAGTCCACTTCTCCACACTCTACTGCAATTGTCTATGACAAAAGAGGTGAAAAATGCCTCAGTGGGTCTGTTTTGTTTTAACACTGTAGATAATGGGGTTCATCACAGGAGGTGCTAGTAGATAAATACTGGCCAATATGACATGTACAATTGGAGGGGCATGCTTGGCAAAGTGGTGAGTCATGTACAATCCCACCATGGACACATAGAGGACCAAAACAGCCAGAATGTGGGATAGACAGTTATTGAGTGCCAGAGTCTTTCAACCCAGGAGCTGACTGTCAAGACACTTCTCAGGATGAGTGCTTAGGAAAACACAATGAGCAGGGGGTCCAATGTAATAATGACCAGAGCTAGAACAAATTCATACCAATTACTGACAGTGGTGTCAGCATACACCAGACGAATCATGTCTTGATGGAGGCAGTAGGAGTGGGAGAGATGGTGGGAGCCACAGAAGGGAAGCCTTTTTAGCAGGAACAATGGGGGAAGAACAGCCAGAACACAGCAGCAAATGATGGCTACCCCTATTCTGCTGATTACTTGGTTGGTGAGGATGGAGACATAATGGAGGGGGTGGCAGATGGCCACATAGTGATCAAAGGACATGGCCAACAACACAGAAGACTCCATAAAGGAGAATCCATGGAGGAAGAAGAACTGGGAAAAACAAGCCTCAAAGTTGATCTCTGAGGCACCAAACCAGAGGACCCCCATGACTGTAGGCAAAGTGGTTAGGGTAAGCCCCGGGTCTGTTAGAGCCAACATAGAGAGGAACAAGTACATGGGCTCATGTAGGGAGGGCTCTGTCCTGATGACAGCAAGAATGGTGATATTGTCCATGATGGAGACTGTGTAGAGACAACAGAAAGGGATGGAAATCCAGGTATGGAAAACCTCAAAGCCAAGGATGCCCATGAGGATGAATAAGAAGGGGACTTGAATGGAGTTAGTAACCAAAAACATGACTGGAGGAGGCAATCTCAAGACCAGAGTTCTTTGCCAAATCTGTGAAAAGTGGACAACATAAGGATTTGAGTAAATGTTCTATGACTACTTGAAGTCACTCTGATAGATCATTGAAGAAGACCCAGGGAAAGGGAGCTAGCTGAGAAATGAGTTTTAAAATGTTTTATCACTTTTGCTTGTTTTAGCTCCTAGCTTGTCATCTCTTGTCAACTGGTGAGTTGAGAGCATGAAGTTCTCATTAGTTTTAACCCAAAGTCTTCTTTATCTGTGTAGAAAGCAGTTATGCCTTTGCAGCAGGAAGGTGTAGGGGTACTTTATGGCTGTTGGAAAGAAGAGCTGTGGAGAAAAGATTACTGTAAGACATCATTGGATGCCATAAGGTTAGGAGAAAAAGACAAAGCTAAGACCAGTAAATGTACAAAGCAATTCCAATATGCCAATTGACTCTTTTGAGCCAAGCAAACCGTAGAGAAGTAAATTGAGATAAAGGAGTGGGAAAAGATAAAGACTGTCTTCAGAATCTAAGCGCCCTAAGAAGGAACTTTTAGAATCAGATGGGTGCAGGGACCTTGTTGGAAAGGACTGTACATGAGCTAAATGGGTAAAAATGGTGCTCAGATATCTGTCAAAAGAACTCATACTAAAAGACTAACCTAGGGGTGCCTGGGTAGTTCAGTTGGTTAAGCATCCAACTCTTGATTTTGGCTCAGGTCATGATCTCAAGGTCCTGAGATCAAGACCCCATGTTGGGCTCTGTGCTCAGTGGGGAGTCTGCTCTAGATTCTTTCTCCCTCTCCCTCTCCTTCTGCCCCTCCCCACCAAAATAAATAAGTAAATGTTTTTACAAAATAAAATAAAAAATAAAAAATAAAAAAATAAAAGACTGGCCTAGGAAACACTTTCTGGGAAAGACTGCAATGATAGGTAGGATCATCTCTGTGGGAACAGTTTCATAGGGTTGGATTAAGGAAAAATATCCTCTTGGTGCATAAAGCAATTGGATCCATTGTATCAGCTAGTAGGTTTCTGTAAAACTGTTTAAGCTCATATTGATGAATGTGAACGGGAGCAGAATCTGCCATCCCAAAACACTCCTGTTTGGTTTAACAATCATCTTGAACTGATTATTTCTAAGAAACAGCAGACATAGAACAATCTCTGAAAGCTAAGTAGACATTACTTTTGGGATCCTTACAGTGACCTGTGAGACATTTACATTTATAAAGGAGACCTAGAAGAGGAGAATGAGGAAATCTTTGGAAACTCTTATCAAAAAAGAAGGCAGAAGACAAAGAAGATGTAAACCTGTATAACAACCATTCCCTTGTTTACTGTGCTTTCCCTGGGAACCTCCCATTAGAAGCCCTCCCTCCTACCCACCCAACCCTCCAACATCTTCCTTTGTCTTTATCCAAAGAAGGCATTTAAGGTGATAGTTTGGGCCATTTCAAGGAGTACTCACTTTTCCAGGGTAAGTCCCATGTATACAGGAGGTATATACATTATTAAATTTTGCTTATTTTTCTCCCAATAATCTTTAACTAGAGGGAGGCCTCAGCCAAAAACCTAGAAGGATAAAGGGAAAAATATTTTCCCTCTTTTACAGTTGTTTGGATAAACTATTTCATCTGTTTGTTTTTAACATTGCTATCTGGTAAAACTTCCTTCTGCCTTCTCTAAACTTGCTCTTGATATTTCTGTCCTCTATGAGAAAATGGAAAGCATTACTTGGAATACCTCTTGTGACTCAGGGTGAACATAGGTGTTATCTTACCCACTATGAAGACTGGTAGATTGAGGAAGCAGAAGAGAACAGGAAGGGAGGAAATCCTGGGCTATGGAAATCAGAATCTCTTCTATTTACCCATCATTCTCCTGCCTCCATAATGGCATCAGAGTTCAAACAGTTTTTCCATCAGTGAGAGACCCCCTTTTTTTGGTGCCTTTTCTCCAAAAATAACATTACCCAGAGAAAGTTGCCTTCAGCAATCTGTGCCTTGACACACTACCATAATGTACTTTTAGCTCCTGTCCCTCAAGATCCCAGAGCATCACCCTTCCTTCCTCCAGCTCGGCAGTGACATATATCTCTATGTCCAGTTCATAGAGATAAGTCTTCCTGCTCAGCCTCACTTTCTGTCCTTTCTTTCTGGTAATCCATGACCATGTACTTCACCTGTTAGCCAAGTGCCTTGCTTTTTCTGTAGAACTCCTCACCCTGCTGAGCAGAAGCATTTGTATAGGCTCCTACAGGTCCTCAGGGAAGGGGGTAGCCCTTGGGCCTTATAGGAACCCAAGGTATGGAAACAAGAAAGATTTGTGTGGCATAGTCTGCCCTGGACCACATCTAGTTAAGGACACAGAAGTACATACAGATTCCAAGCTGATTTTCCAAGAACAATCTGACCAACATTAAAACCAAAACAACCAAGCAAAAGCTTTGTGTAAATAGTTTCTCTAGAGATGTTTTTTGTTTGTTTGTTTTTGCTTTAAGTAGGCTCCACACCCAGCATCGAGCCCAAAGCCGGACTTGAACTCACGACTCTGAGATCATGACCTGACCCGAGATCAAGAGTCAGACACTTAACTGATTGAGCCACCCAAGTGCACCTCTCTAGAGGTGTTTTTGACTGAGAATTTCTGGAATTCTTTGGACAGAGAAACAATTTCCAAAGAGAGGAAATTCTCTTTATGAAGTATTTATCATATGAAATGCTAAACCAGGAACTTTCCAGCACTTTTCTCTATTACACACTGTGCTTTTGTCTGTTTAGCCATTAATTGCAAAGATAAATGAGAGTCAGGGAAGTGTAATGATAAAAGATCGAATTAAGGATGAGGTAACTCTTACTTTATTCTATACTAGGATAATATCAGTATTTTTATTTATAAAACAGAATTGTTTTCAAAATTTTTATATCGTTTTCCCCATTATGTTCAGTAATCCTTTTTCTTTTAGAGAAGAACTAATATTTCATTTTCCTACTTAAGTGGTTGTGAATTAGGCTAATTTGGATTCAAAATCTAATTTGAATACTTACTAATTGTGTGACTCTGGGCAGCTGCTAAATTAAAATTTCTTTGCCTTAATTTTACTTTCAGTATGTCAAAGGTAAAAATCATGTTTGAAAGTGCTGAAGACACTTTCTGAGACATATCAAAGTCTAAATAATTGTTAGCTATATATACTAATTATACTAATTCTAACTATACTGTTATGATACTCATTGTTATTATTATTTTTGTTATTATTATTATTATCCAAACTTTCCAAGATGCAGTTATTTTATTTATTTTTTTCACTTTTTTCCTAATCTGCAAGCATGGTGTTAGGATCTTTGATAAGAAAATTAGATTATTAAGAATGTGTTCTATTAGCAACTTAAAAGTAGTTGGGGGACCCTCGTGTTTGTTCTCAGAAATTTCAGCAAACCTATATTACTTAACCCTTTAATGCCAGAAACAGTGTTATATCTTGGTAATGCATAAACCAAAATGATACATCTTTGTTTAGAAAGAGCAGGCAAATAACTAAGGTATAAGAAGGAAGCCAAAGAAATGTTATCAGTTACATTTAGATGGAGAGAACAGAGAAAGATGAGATCTATGTTTCTAATAATATTTCAAATCCATAGTATTATTTCAAAATATATTGTCTCCCAACAGATAATATTAAAGACTGAAAAATACAGACTTTGACTAGCATGCCATTGACTTGCATTTTGGTAAAGTATTGAGCTCTGACTCTAGACCTCTTGATTCAAATTCTGACTGTGTCCTCTACCAGCTATGCGACCTTGATCTATTCAGTGAAACACACTGTGCCTCAACATTTCAATTCTCAAGTATTTCCCACAACTGTTGAAGAATTTTACTCCCCACATCCATAACAACACATGGTACTGTCTGTTGTTTTAACTATATAGTCTTTCCAGTGTCTATAAGTCATTTTATGGTGATTTAAATTTGCATTTCCTTTTTACTTTTTTTAATTTTTTTTTACCCTCCTCCTAAATTTGCATTTCCTTCAGAACTAATTATTTGATCATCTTTTCACATAGTTCTTAGCCCTTTGCATATCTTCTGTGAAAATATTTAGATTAAAAGTTTGCCTGCTTTTATTGGATTGTCTTACGATTATTGAGTTATAAGAGTTCTTTATTCAATCTGCATACAAGTGCTTTTTCAAATGTACATGTTATATATATATACATTTTTTTTTCAATCTCTGGATTGATTTTCTTTCCTTAACAGAGTCTTTTGAAGAGCAGACTTTGTTACTTTTAATGAAGCTGAATTTATCAATTAATTTTTCTTTCTTAAAAAAGATCATGAAGGGGCGCCTGGGTGGCTCAGTCGGTTAAGCGACTGCCTTCGGCTCAGGTCATGATCCTGGAGTCCCGGGATCGAGTCCTGCATCGGGATCCCTGCTCGGCAAGGGAGTCTGCTTCTCCCTCTGACCCTCCTCCCTCTCATGCTCTCTGTCTCTCTCATTCTCTCTGTCTCAAATAAATAAATAAAAATCTTAAAAAAAAAAAAAGATCATGAAGACTTTTTACTCTGTTTTCTTCTAGATGCTTTACAGTTTTGGTATATTTTTATTATGTACATATAGGTCTTTGTTGTGTTTAAATTAATTTTTGTGTAAGGTCTAAGATAGGGTCAAAACTAATTTTATTTCTATATACATATACAGTTGTACCAGCACCATTTACTGAAAAGATATTCTTTCTTACAAAAATAGTTGGTGACTGTGTTAAATGTCAATGATTTATGTGAAGATCTGTTTCTGGACTCTCTCATCTCTTTGGTTGATGTGTTTGTCTCTCATTATGATTATTCAGCACTATCTTTTTACTGAAGATTTATAGTAAGTTTTGGAATTAGGTAGTATATGAGCTCTAAAAGACTGTTCTTTATTTTCAAGTTGTTTAGTTATGTTAGTTCTTCTGCATTTCTGTAAAAAAAAAAGTAAAATAACCTATGAAATTCTATCA